TAATGATCAGATAAATAAGGATATATATATATATATATATATATATATATATATATATGTATATATATTGGATATTGTTGTGATGAAAACCACGGCCAACCTGAGCTCCTTCCTATTGGTTCAAGTTCCTAAACGCGGCCTTTTGACAACTGAACTCATTTCCCACTCTACTTGCTGCCAACCTTAATATCCCCTCAAATCTACTGATCCTCACCAAATATACCATGAAGTTAGTTAGCCCAGCACATTAGTACCACTGGCTAGAAAGACATCCACTTTTAACATTAGATGATGTTCAAGCCCATTTGTTAGGTTAGTCTCTATTATTAGTATTCCCACACATGGGTGAGCATTTTGCGGGCGTACTTGTGCTGAATTCTAAGTCAGCATTCGTGGCACTGCTTAAGTCCATTCGAATGCAATTTGGTATTTCTTGAAGCAATTCTTTAAAAAGTTCTTCGATCTCGAAAAGAATTGATCCGATGGTCATGATGATGCCAGGGGTTGAAGCCGTAAACGTTGCTGCATTAGGACCTCACTTAACCGCTAGCTATTGATCATGGGATTTTACTAACTTTTAATGATCACTTTTATTCATTTCTATGGACTAGCCTAATCTCAGGTTTGGTTCGTACTGCAAATAATCATCATTGGGAAAGGTGGAAGAATTGCTGGGACTGAGGCGCTGTACCGGAGGAACGCATAGAATATTATGCAATTATTTTCTTACTTTCTTCGTTTTCCCGCTTTCTAGCTAGTAGGTTCACCTTTTGTAGAACGTTGAGCAATATTCCTCTTACTTATTTTTTTTTTTTTTTTTTTTCGACACAGGGATGTCCGGGTCAATCCTTACAGGGTCCGACTAATCCCCTGCGGCCCGAGTCCGGCGCCCCAACCCGGCCCGAACGCGTTAAGTGCGCGGAGGAATCCAGCGGAGCGGAGATAATATTCCTCTTACTTTAACACAATATGCTTTATGGCAGCGTTGTTGCGTGCGAGTTTTTTAGTTTAATTATATGTATTAGTATTTCCTCCACCATTTTTGAGGTTAGTTGGTGAGTACGTGTAAGTTGGATAAAAAATTTCTTGAAATATTATTTAAAATAATTAATGTTACATTTTTTCTAGTGTGATGTATATAAAATAAAAAAAATAATTGAAAGTATAAAAAAATTAATTAAAAAATATGTTTGTAATGTAAGCAAAATTAAATTATTTAGAAAATTTTTGGTATCCAAACACGCGCGCTCTAAGGTTACTCAGTTTTTCCTTGCAACTCGTTTGCTTCAAAACAGTAGCTTTTGTTCCTTTGAAACCATTAGTGTATTGTCAACCAGCTAAATAGTCAAAAAATCCACCCCAAGAATGTTAGCCGAAAAAAAAAAGAATTAAAAGGGAAGAACAGTTATGGAAAGGCATGATATTGATGCGTGAGCTAGCATGTTTTTGCTCAAGCAATATACAAAGAAATGGATGGTATATTTTTCTTATGAATAACCACTGGACATTGCTTAATATATTTATTTAATTTACGCTTTATTTATGATCACTTTCAAAAACAAATGCATAAACTCACACCTATTGTGCAAACTTCTTTAATTTATTTCATATCGCTTTGCAAACAATTAACAAGTGAGGACCCTCCTGCCCAACCAAGCCCATTGGACGACTTGATAGACAAAGGAAGTTTAATATTCTTCTTTTATAGACAAACTTAATTGACATGCTTACAACTCAATTACTTACAAAAAAAAAAAATAATAATAATGACCTCTTAGATCTAGCAGGTAAAGAATGACATGAAGTATTTTTTCTAACAGGCGTTCAGTCCAATCGGCATTTGTTATTGTGCTCAAATTAAATCTAATTTAATATGTGAATGCACACATTACATTCATTACGCTTACCTTATAATTATTAACTTCATTTTGACCAAAACAGAAAAAAAAAAAAAAAAAAGTATTTAGGGATCTATTTTAACGAGAGCATACTTTTATTTATGGATTTTGATGAGAAAATTTCGTAGACGAACGTAATGGGGATAGATTTGGCATGCCAAGAAGAATATTAATTTATTTTTAAGTATAGAAAACGAAAAATGGAAAAAGGAGAAGGACAAATTGATACGTGTCGCGACAGAGAAACTTGATCAATTGTTGTCGGATCAACACGTGTACCAAAGGGGTCGGGTTGACTTCATTTCTCGTTCTGCCAACGACAATGGGAAGCTCTCTCTCGCTCTCTGGCGTTGTTAAATGGTAATCAACACTCACTTAATGCTTCTACTATGCTAAATCAATCTTGGATGGATTAGTTTAGCAGTAGTAGCTTAGGTCTAAGCGTTTGACGAGGTCTCATCTTATTATTCTACTACTGCTACTTTATACGTACGGTTTTCAGACTTGAAACAATAATCTTTCTCTGCTTCTGTTGCCCCAAGAAGATTTTAACTTGGATTCTGCTCTTTAAGTACTCTGTATATACATACATACATATATATATATATATATATATATGAATAAGCATGCTATAATACAGGTAAGAGATAGATTGAGAGAGACAGAGGTATTCAATGGCGGACTTATTAGTTCTTTTGTAATTTCAAGAAGAATGTTTAGTTAATCCAAGCCATCTGATTGGAGGATTAAAAATGGTGCTTCTCCCCCTCAAGACACTTACCATGTGATCCAACTGCTCATAATCCCATTTCCCGCTCCAGCCGCTGGCAGTATACTAACTGTGATTTGGACGCAAATATTATCTACGCACAACTACTAATTTCTGTCATTAATATTCAAGGGCCAGGGAGCTACTCTACTGCAAATTCACCAACTTATCATTAAGATGATAGAAATCAAAGAAACCACTTATTACTTCTAAAACTTGCAGGGCCAGCTAGATAGGAGACAGCTGATGTATGTTTTCCTAATTGTCATTAATATATCTGAATCTTCAGCTGCGAGAAATGAAGGGCCTTTCCTTTCGGTAGAGAGTTTCTGGCAATGTTCAAGGAAGAACTGGCACCAAGAAAATGCATTCCTATTCTTTCGAGTGAGGTGTAAATATAATATGACAAGCAAAAGATTGGGTGAAAAAACCAAAGACCAAGTGTTAATGCTATATTAGCTCAAGCTCAGATAGATATTTGTGCGCAGTAGTGGTAAAGGAAAAGAGAAAGGGGGGGGGGGGGGGGGGGAAGGAGGGGTTGGGGAATTGAGATTCACGTCACCCTACTGGTCACCAACTTGCTTCCTACCTAGTCTTTCTAAATTCTGAACTATCCTCGAGATGCATGTAAGACCTTTAAGTAGAAAAAAGATCCTGAAAGAAAGAAAGGAAGGAAGGAAGAAGCAATGAGTATGAAGGGGAGGCACGCATGTGAGGGTGTGATTGGGGAGAAATGAGATTTACTAGTAGTTTATTGTGTAGAGGTTTGGAAACCAACTGATACCCTGCGCGGAAGGACGAGAGACTTGCCAAATCTGGAAAGTCGTACAAGAGTTGCCCAAAAGTTTAAGGCACTGCATGATGTGGACCTCTATCCTCCATGGACTTTTGTAATTTTCCAATTCCCACCCTCCCTTGTTTGACTGGCACTTCTTTCCATTCCATCTTCTAGCATTCCTACGATCCCTACTCGCCTCCTTCCTAAATCCTCCTAGGGAAGAAAAAGGGGAAAATAAAAACAAAAAATTCTCGGCCAAAGACTAGTTAGTGCTGCAGGATGGAAGCATCAGCTCAATTCGCTCCTTGCATCTTGCAGGTTGTTGCCTTGATTGAACTGGGGGTTCATAGTTCATACGACACGAGTGCAATTTGTTTCTTACTTAATTCTTTAGTGCCGTTGATGGTTTTCATGGGCTGCATACATTACATATGTTTGATGCTGTTTGTATACGATTGTTTGTGAGTACGTGATAGAATTAACAAAACGTTTGTCTCCTACATATGATCGTTGACATGCATTAAAGTTGAGTGTGGATTACTATATATGATTTTGCTTTTAATCTTGGCGTTTACTAAAAGATAGTGGATTTAAAAGTTTGTCCAACGTTTTGCAGTAATAGAAAGAAGTTTGGCAAACGGATAATGGAGGGCAATTCAAGGTGGAGGACGGAGTTTTCTATGTCCAAGGAATTTTTTTTTTTTTTTTTCACAACGATAACAGTTGTATAATCTAATCTAACATAATCTAAGAACAGGGGGAGTATAATCGACGGGAATTTTGTCGAAAGAAGCCACCCAAAGGTGTTAGCCACAATTAAGTGACAAGTTTGGTGGGAGGTCAAGGTTCTTCCCAAGACTTTAAGGTCTAAGGGGGGAGTAATTGAGTGATAATCTAAAAAGCTGAAAATGAGTCATAAACTTTGTCAGAGGCATCAAGCACCACAACAATAGATAACCTGTCAGCGGGCAAATTAGCTTCACGAAAACAATGTGAAACTTGAGAGAAATGAACACGAAAATGCATAAGCTGCTCAAGCTCCCTCTGAACAGTCTATGGACAGTGCACCCACCCTTCCACCATCTGAACTAAAATCTTCGAACCCCACTCAATGTGCAAGTTGAAAAATCCCCTGGAATATGATTAGTATATGGAAGCACCTGAACTAAAAGACAGTAGATGTGGAGTACTGTTTTCACCAGCACAACTATGGACAATGTGTTGAAATGTGGAAGCAGCACTTATTTTATGTAGTTGAAATATCAATACCATAATGTACAGTGACACCATAGCTGTTACCTGGCATTTGCCAATACTTGACAAAGCAATGTCCTGAATTGACTCTACTCAAAATCTGAAAAGCAGACTTTAAATCCTTCTATCCTATAGATAATCAAACCAACACTCCAACATCAAGGTAGAAAAAATCCCTCACTCCACCCCAATTCACCACAACCAGAATATAGAACAAAAGAAAAGTGCACACAGAAGAAAGATCATACAATGCTAAAGTAGATCATTGTCCCATTGATTGAGTGGCAGACATCTTGTTCACTTATAATCAGCTGAAACACAATCACTTGCAATACAAGTGATTCTCTTTTCTCTTAATTCTGTAATCATTTACTATAGATATTTTCTACGTCATACGAATTTGGTTTTGGATTCACAAATTTCCCACTCAAACTACAGTGAATGAGCACCTTCATTGTCAAAAGCTTTCCACTATGAGAAAAAAAAAAAAAGAATTCATACAATTCATGCTGATAAAGCAAGCTTTACAAGATCACAAGGACTTAGTTTTCGATTCCCAAGCAGATTTTTATGCTCCTATTGCCCAAAAGAAAACGTGTCTCTCACCAGTTAAATGATGGGCACTAAGCCTGGCAGAAGACGCTGTTGATGACTTAATAATTATTGCACTCCAAGTGTTTAGATCATTACAATTCATCATGCTTCGGAAGAAACCCTGCAGAATGAAAAACATGAGAAGCAACACACACACACAAAATGCGAAAGACTTCCCAATATAGAAACAGGAGATGAAGAAAATTATTGTCAAAGTTGAATACTGCTCTTTGTAATATTTAGTGAAATGATGTCTCGGCTTATATCTAGTAGAGAGAGAGAGAGAGGGAGGCAACCTTATGGCATCTTCAAAAAAACCAGTCTTAAATTCATCCAGAAGGGCAGAGGTTGTAAATACTGACACATAGCTTAACCAATCATTTACAAAGTTTGGAAGGTGCCGCAATCAACTCAAAAGCATTACCTATCAAATCATGTTTGAAAGATGGAAAAGATTACGAGAGAATGCTACGTCAGAATTCCATAAAGTTGTTTTTTAGAGGACCAATTAGACATGACGAATATGGTAGTAGGTGTTGCTTTTGTCACTTCATATTAACCAAAAAAGCAAAAAACATGTAAAAATACTTCATCAATTCACTTGATCCAAGAATACCTATCTCACTATATATTGGAAGCCTGCTGCACGAATTTCGTTTACATATCCTGTCTGCTTATATCTGGCTACCAACTCTTTGATCACAAGTTAACGCATTTATTACTATGACCAGAACAGGAAGTCACTTTCCCCAAGTTACACCAATCAGCACTGTCTCAGCTTGATTGCATGCACATTGAGTACTGATTTTCTATTAAGCTATTCTCTTCACATGTTGTTTTTTCTTTATCATATCCAACATGTTGTACAAGCCATATCTGGAACACTAGGAACACAAAGCTGTTTAAGAACTGCTCCTTGTATTTAATGTACATTTTGTTGAGGTAGAATGACAAAGGTGAACAGATCAAAAGAAAATGTTGGATCATGTACTAGAATGGAGTCTTAACCATCAAATTTATCATAAAAATGACATGTATTGAAATGTTACGGAGTCTACAACTAGGTTTGCTACTCCTATGACGTATGCCTCTTTTTGCATACTTCTGGATTCTTTCAAATTAAGATTCAAAAGTTTTTATGTAGAAAATGTTTAGCTATGCAACTAAAATTGCACAACTGACCTGATGATGACTTTTCAAAGAAAAAGGCTATTTCTCTCACTGCAGATTGAGGTGAATCTGACCCATGAACACAATTCCTCTGTAAATCCAGGCCACACATGGCTCTGATGCTGCAGGAGAAGCAAAAAGAACTTCATAAATAAATACCAATATAGCAAGAAATATGCTTGAAAAGTTCTCTACAAATAATGACTTGGAAAGTGGATGAGAAGAAATGAGATTGGCAGAAGAGAACAGACTAGTAGAGGACAGCAAAAAACCTGTGAGGGTGTGTAACCTTAGCTGTCTGGGCATCTGTTGGTCCAATTAAAGCACGCCAATCAGCAACAGCATTTGCCTTCTCCAAAACCATCATCAACACCGGACCACTAACACAAAGAAAGAACATGAGGGAGGGAGGGAGGGAGGGAGGGAGGCCGGGGGGGGGGGGGGAGATAGAGAGAGAGATGCCAATCCACAAGAGCAATTGCCTTCTCCAAAACCATTATCAACACTGGACCACTAAAACAAAGAACATGAACGCAAATGTTGTGGGAGAAAAAATTTGTTTTAAAAGGTCCGAGGCCATCTTTTGGAATCTCCAATTATTGATAACATAGACTGTCTTGACCAAGTCATCATGTTCAAGTCTGGAATACGGCAAATTCACATACTGCAATGCAACTCAGATTACCACATGCAAAGGCCAATTGGTTCTTGAAATAGTTGAAAGGGGAAAAAATAACCAGATAAAGATTTAAAAAACCGTGTAAAAATATTGCATCACTTCCATAAATCAACAATAGAAGATACTGGAGCAATCTCAGTTGCAAATCTACAAGCTTGATTTGCCATTTTGCATTCGAATTGAAGTCCAAAGTCAATTTGTAATAAAAAAAATTGAAATAAGCAGACTGCAAATACCACATTAAATTCCTACCCATCTACCAAGTTAAAGGGCTTGAAATTATTCACGAGGCAAGAATACCTGGTCATGTACCGGACAAGGCCTGGAAAGAAGCTTCTCGAGGAGTGCTCAGCATAAAAATCCTTCACAGTCTCCTCATCGAGCTGAACCGTAGTTTCATTGGTGATGCCAAAACCAAACTCTGAAATGATTTTCTTGATAGCAGTAGTGTAATTTCCAGACACTCCATCTGGTTTTATCATAGCAAATGTCAAATCTTTTTCTGTACTTGATTCCGCAGAACACCTACATTAGCATGGGGTTCATAGCTCATAGCTCAAAAATTAGCATGTAGGCATAATTAAGGAATTGCATTGGAATAAAGTTCACAACTTGGATATTGGCATATAAGTGAAAAATCTCATTGGAATAAAGCTCGTAACTTGGAAATTAGTATAACAATCACAATTCATGAAGCTCATCTCTAGGAAACTAGTAAATCACATTCTTCAAGTTAATTAATTGGATGGAAATTACTATAGAGATCACAATTCATCGACCTCATACCTAGGAAACTAGTAAATCACTCACATTCTTAAAGCTCATTAATTGGAAGTTGGCATAGAGATCAGAATTGATAATTAATAAATTCATCAACAGATAAAGTATCTACTTACGGGAAATGCAATTGCAGAAAACACAGAAAGAGGGGGGGATGGGTGTTGGGAAGATTCAGCTCGTGACAGTAGAATCTGCTTACGTTTGAAGACAAGGCAGTATTGAGACGAGAAGGAAAAGAAGCTTGAACTCTTCGAAGAACGTAATGAAGTGAAGATCCATTTCACAGCATCAAACTGATTGAATACCCAAAAAAAAAAAGATCATTGCACGGGAGACGTACAATATATCATTTTTATGTTTAATAAAAACCAGGAAAAAATGACGGTTTAATCACCTCTAGAAGATACACAAATAAAAAAATGACTGTTTAATCATCTTTAGAAAATACACAAGTCACTCTCTTCAACATCGACTTCAGAAGCTGGTAATTATAACTGAAATGGGTACCGAGGAAATTGACTTCCAGCAGAGAAAGTCAATCTTTGGACTTGTGTTAGAAGTAGGCTCCAAAAAAAAATAATAAAACATCAAGTCCCGGAACGTATTTTGTTTCTCAAACGACTCCATCATTTTTTCTTATGAAGGACAATTAATATCAAAATCTCCCCATTGGCACCATTGCTGCCTTCATTACCACTTATGATTCTTATAATCAATTCTGGGATGGATTTTAATTCTTATGATGAAACCATGGAGTATCTGAACAGAAGTTTGCTAATATCTCCTTGCCAAGAAAATGAAAATGGGACTCGTGTGTAAGATTGAAAGGCGCTGAAATTGAATACTATGTTGCAGCAGCCAGGGAAAATAAATTCTAGCAGCCTATAAGATTTAACAATGGTATTCTAGTAAAAAGAAACGAAGAGAATTGATAATTGAGCAGAAAAGAGAAAAAAAAAAAAAAGAAAGAAAGAAAGAAAGAGAAGTGATTTACCTGTGAATAGAGGAAAATTTAAGTGGGCGAAAAATATACTAAAAGTATCTGTTTGTTAATACTCGCGGCGGCTCTTGTGTTTTGACCGGCTCCCGAACGAACAGAACTGAGTTTACGGGACGATGTCGGGCGGTGTCAGAGAGGAAAAAACATTCGCTATTTGTTTTTCGCCGAGGATTCCGCCAATCAAATCAAATCAAATCCCCTTCTGTCTTTTTTTTTTTTTTTGGTCTTCATATTTTTGAGATTACAATTATCTCCTTATATATTCATGTGAATTAGTAGTGAAGCTAAATCAAGTAACTTTACTTGTGCTCGTGAGCTACTCTGTCAAGGTTTCAACTTCAGTTCGAACTATTTGTCTAAAGTTAATTTTTATATTCTTTTTATTATAATGTTAATTATATTTGTCTAATGTTAATTATATTCTTTTTTAAAATTATGTGTAAATATTAATTTTTATTAGTTGAGATCGATTAGATTTGAATAGGCTCGATTGAGTTTAATTAGACTTAATTTAGATTTAATTAAACTCGAGATCAAGTAAAATAAACTGAAATCGAACTTGAGTTTGACTTTCAAAAACTCGACGAGTTCGAACTGAAACTCAATTATTCTATCTTGAGTCGAGTTTGAATAGTACACTATTCGAATTTGACTCGACTCGAGTGCACTCCTAGTGTAAATTATCAGGAGAAGTCGTTGTCTTTTCAGAAGTTTATCAAGATCTATGACATATGCCAATTCTCAAAATGTAATTGGGATTTTGTGAGCGTCAATTGTACAATTCCTCTACCTCTTGAAGAAGGAATATGATGATAAGTGCCCACTACTCGAAGCATATAAATATAATGGCATGCTTGACGTTCGAATGTTATACCACAACCTGAGACTTCAGATCTATGGATGTATTGTTTTGACAGGGGAAGCTAGTACCAGCATCCGCTTCTCATCACCAAATTACAAGTTTTGCCACGATTCATATTTTCAGTTTCTAGAATTTTCAAAATTCCTTGATTTTCTTCTGCCGTGCTAAACCTACATCTGCGTGTTCCATTAAAAAAAAAAAATTGTAATCACAAATTAAAAGGAAACCCAATATTTTAATTTTAAAATCAGAAAATCCAGGTCCCAAATCAACATATTTTGTTGCCAAATGAATGTAATCCCAGTCTCGATCAAAAGCTGAGCAAAATCTTGATTGAAAAAAAATCCATCAAAATTTGGAATTGATAGACATGACAAGATAATAGAGAGGGAGAGAGAGATGATGATGATGATGATGATGATCAACGAATAGAACATTATAGAAACCGAAACGTCTTCAGTCTAGGTATGTATCTATGCGTATATACATATATAGTTATATACACACAAAACCCTTCATTAAAGTGTACACTGAAAGAAGGGTAGCTATACATTCTTGCGGGGCTTCTTAACCGCAGAAGTCACAAGAAAAACAGACCTCACAACAAAAATTCATGCACCCGAAACATGCAAGCGCAGTGCATAGCTGCGTCAAAACCACTGCACACTGGTCATTAAGCCGGCTACAGAACTGAATGAAACACATGCAACAACAGCAATCTAGCATTCTGCCGCACAAATTTCTAGCAGCTTTCGTTATCATTTCTGAAGTTTCATGCAATTTAGGTTCTGCTGTTTCTGGTGGAACATTCTCTGCAGTGGCCTTCAAGCTACCAAAGCCAGCCCCCACTGTACGCAGGACTATTATTTTCTTGCCACTTGATTCACTTAGCTGCGCATTTAATCGATGTCATGCAGCAATTTCAATGAACATCAATGTGCATTCCTTTTTTAACCAAACAAGCAAATTTAAGAATAGGTTAGTAGCCCAATTAAAGCATGAATCGCACACCTGCTTCTCCTTCTTGGTCTCTACCAAAACCAAGTTGGTGTACTCTGAAGGCACGCCCATCTGCAAGCTCATTCTCTCAACCTGCAACCATACGTAACGAGCCTAAGTAACATACAAGTAACAAAAGAAGCAAATATGCCAGGATCAGAATGGGCGAAAAAGTAAACATCTTTAACAACTGATCTATATACAGCATTAAGAGACACTGACAATTTTTATTGATCTTGAACTCCTAGAAGCACAAAAAGAAGGCAGTCATACATAATTAGTTAAAAACATCTTATAAAGAAAATTTCCCTTGTGATTTCTTGGGGTTGTGGTCCTCAACTAAACATGCTTCTTAGAATTAGAAAATCTGCCTTCATTGCTCGCCGCATGGCCAGACACATAAAAGTATCCCAATAGAGATGCACAAAACTAAGATAGCTACTAAACACTCTCCCACAATGAACTGAACTCCACCCAGAGGATTTGGCTGCTAGCTATAACTTGCCAACCTTACTTTTTGAATATATTGCCCTGTTGAGATTTCCTACAAAACATGAGAAGGAGAAGTAAAGACCAACCTTCTCCTCTAGTTGTTTATCTTCTGATAGCCACGCATTAGCTGTCAGTGCATCAATTTGACTCTTTGCAAACATCTGCAATAGAAATAGTAATCAGATTACAGAAATCCTTTTGATTGCAGCTTTCTCCAGGAAAAAAACATGATCGATGAACATTTTTCTGATATCTTTTCTCATAAATTCTGTTCAATTAGTTCAAAATAAACCTCTAAAGAACCAGAGATCCATATAAATCAGTTAAGTCCATTATTTGACAGTGTACTTGTGAAACATTGTAATCAATTTGAGCAGTCGGTATCAATTATTTCCAAAAAGGAAAAGCTTTGTTGCTTCGAATGACTCTTGCACTTGATAATTTGGATGTCTGTGAGACAGAAGGTAGACTGACTTCTTCGATACTTGGGGACCAAAAACAATTCAAACTCTCCTAGCTGCAAAAGAGTCGAGCCATGCTTTTGAATAAAACATATGCTTTTATTTTCTTTTGTGTTTCAATTTATAACAATGTTAAGTACCAACCACAGGAGTGTCAAACCTGATTTCAAGGAAAACATCATAACAAAAAGCATAGGTTAACTTCACATGGGTCAAGTCAAAAGCATTACTCTTTCCATCGGGAAATCCTTTGCTTTCTGCACCTTTGCATCAATAACATAATTTTCCAAATCAGCCAATGTACCACGAAATTTTACAGAGTCAGGAAATTTCCCAGTGTATCTGCCTGACACAAGTAATGGACTTTCGGACAACAGGTCTGGCAGCTGAAACGGATATAACTGCAATGAGGAGAGATATAGTCACATTAGAACTGAAGAAAAGACAAATACATTACTGAGGAAAAGTACCAAAAGGAGAAATCAGATTGTTCAGCATAAACTTTAAAATATTGGTGGTAAATAGATCAAGAAGAAAAAATATCCAATTGTAATGAGTTCTGATATGTAACTTGTGCAACTAATACCACTGTATGCCTAGAAAAATATCAGGTTCAGCTTACCTCAAGTGAATCAAGCTGTTCAAGACAATCAATGGTTAAATCTGCAAGAATGACTGATGATGCTTGATCAAATAGTCTTTCCAACCGAAAGTCAATTGAATCTGGCCACATGAAATTGATGATAAAACATAAGATCTTGAATATTTGATTTATATGTTTTCAATAACTTTGAGATTAATGGTAAATGAAACTTGCATTATACTGAAAAATGTAAATAAAATTTAACTCCAAAGTAACTACAGCACTTAAGAACTCAAATGATGATAAAGTAGATCATCACATAAGAAGCAGATGGGCTGAAATCTCTTTCCTGTTTACTTCCACACCATTTGTCTAAAAAGAGCAAAGATCATCCATAAGCAAATGCTAAAACAAGGCAAAACATCACTAACATGGTCAGCTCAAATAGAGCAACTCACCCATGTCATATGCAGCATCATAATAACCTCTCCCTATTTCGGCAAGCACTTGCAGGAAGTAGTGGTTACAATATGAACCTGAAGAGCGAAAAACCAATGAAGTATTACATGTTGAAATTGTCAAATAACATGGTTCAGAGACGAATGTTCAGACAAAAACATAAGAGGAGATCTTTTGAATACCCCATGAGCCACCAAGATTAATATCGCAAAGATGCAACTCAATCATTTGTCATCTAAATATGAAAATGAGTAATATGGTAATAACAAGGATCAAATGTCTGAATGAACCACTGCACAATGCAGCACCACACGTATAGATGATTTTACATGATCAATGATGCGAACAAAAAGCTTGTGATTGTAGAAGAGATGCTTATTTATGTGCCACACTTGGTTAGAGAGAAAGTCTTGCAGGGTTTGAAAGAACATAAAGACGCTTCTTTGTTTAATCTGAGGCATGTTCTATTCGCAGGGATTAGAATAAAATTGTCAACAACAAAGAAAATCAGGTAGAACTATATGGCAATGCACCTACCAATTGCCAATGTGTTAATTCGAGGAGAATTAAAGCCTCCCTCCATGGCTTGATGTTTCACGATAGCACAAATATCTCGCTCATCTTCAACACTCCCATCAGTAATGAGAAATATAAGAGAAATCAAATCGCCAGCTTTCGACATCATCTTTAGTGCCTAAAATAAGTAAGCTATAAAGGTAAATGCACATTTTGACTGGAATACTATAGCATGTGTTCACTTCAGGAAACCCAAATACTCAAGAGATGAAAAAATTGCAAACAATGAAAAAATTAACCAATTCTGAAGATGTGCTCTGCAAGTAAGCAATCTCAACAACCATCTCAGACACATACCCTACTGTAGGGATTGAAATATATTAAGACATGATATATGTGAGATTGTTCAAACGATGACAATCAAAGTACATAGGTAACCCAGACGATACATGCTAGATCAGAATATCAAAGGCACATATTTTATAGGGCAAAGGCACTGTTAGAGGATGAAATTGTTAGCTAAGTCCACAATTGTGCTCTGCTGGTAAAAATTTTAAATCTGTGTCAAAGGATGTTCATGGAGGGAATCAAGTGTACTGCAAAATAAGCTATTGT